TGTAATGAAATTCATTTATCGTAATTTATTATGTCGTACTGTAAATAATGAAGGAATTTATAGATTACCATTTCCTCATGAAAGATTTGAATCATCAAAATATTCCACTTTATTACCATTTATGAAATCTGCAACAAATGGAATTCTTTTATCAAAAGATCAATGGAAATCAAAAATGTGTAATATTATTGAAATGTTTTCTAAAAAGAAATTAGATTATAAACCATTTGTTGATTCTTATTTTAATAAATTAGAAGAAATTTTACGTGCTATTAGAAAGAAATTTAATGAAACAATTGCTAATCTTAATGAAGAAAGAATGATCTTTGAAACAATCTTCTTTAATGGTTGTATGAATAAAGTTTATAAAGAACTTGCTTTAGAAAAAGAAGAAGACTATTGTGAAGTAAATGTTAAATTTTTTCAAATGTATCCATTTGAAATTATTGTTCAATTCGATGCACTTGGAATATTTGAATTATCAATAAGTGAAGCAAGTACAATATTAAATCAAATTAAAGTTCAAGCTGAAAGATTAAAAGACCCTCATTATAAAATTAAAGAACAATTATTTGTTATAAGAAAATTATGTTCAACTGATGAAGAATTTAAAGAAATGTTAAATACAATCACTTCTCATAAATTTAATAACACTTTAAAATACCAAAAATTAGATAAATATTATTCTTTTTATAACGAAACTTCTCCTGAAATGATTTTTAAAAGAAAACTTGATGAAATCATTATTACTCCATCACCCACTCATTTAAATGAAAGAAAACTTTTAAAATTCTTTACTTTAAATTAATTCTTTTTTACTTATTTTAATTCATTCATATTCTTATTATTTCTTAAATTCCTTTTTTTTATTTATTTATAATTAAAGTATTATTAATTAATAATAAAATATATTAACAATTATTTAAATATAAATTTGTTCTGGAATATTATCTTCTGAAAACTCTTCTTCAGATGACTCAAGTTTAATACCTTCTAATCGTTTAGTTAATTCATTTATTCTTCGATGTCTATAAGGATCTGTTATACAAGGAAACATAATAAACCCACTAACAATAATAGCCACGAATGTTCCAACAAATTGCGCTATAATAAAAAATATTACACTCCAAGGAGATAATCCCAAAGCAACACCAAAAAACATACGTCCAAATGTAATTGAAGGATTAGCTACCATACCAGATGGTAGTGTCAATACCATTCCACCTACAATAAAAGAAACAGGACCAGAAGGTTTAATTGTTTTATGAATACAAACCATAACAGTAAGATTAAGAAAGAAAGTACCGATAGCTTCAGAAATTAAGTCCCTAAATGCACAAGTAGTATCAGTTGGTATTTTCAAGAAATGGTCAATATCATAAAGATAATAAATAAACATCACTTGAAGAAATGCAGCAAGAAATTGAACAATAACACTCCATATAAATTCAAAAAAATTAATAATTCCTAAAAAGAAATAGATGAAAGAAATGGTAGGATTAAAAGAAGGAGAGAAATACTCTGCAAAGATTAATAAATCTACATATAAAACAAATGTTACAGCTATCGTTTCTGCAATAAGCCAAACTAAAAGAGCTTCTCTAGAAAGGTTTGTTTCATTTTTAAAGAGATTAGTATAAATTCCATCAGCAACAAAATTAAGTAAGAAAGTACCAATTAATTCTGTTATAAAAATTCTGAAATAAGAATAAGTATTTATAAAATATAATCCTCTCCATATTAATTGAATTGGATATAAAACTTTTCTATGTTGTTTTGTTTTTAATTTTCTAGTACGTGTTTCTTCAGCTCTTTTAAGAATTAAGTTAATTGATTTATGATTAGGAATTGGTCCTGTTGTTTCCATTAGAAAAAAATTGAATTTATTTTTACTTACTTTTTATCCTTTTGATTGATGTTTAGTTTTGATATTATTCACTTTCTATTTTCTTATGTTGTTTTGTATCACAGATATATAAAAATCTATTTCTTTATTAAATAAGAAGTTAAATTATGAACATCAATGTACAGTGCAAATTATTCTTGATGTTCTTCTTCATTCTGTTGTTTGTTAGTTTCCTCTTGTTGTTCTTTTTCCATTTCAGTTGATGTATCAACTGGATTTTCTTCTCCTTTAGATTTTTGAGAATTATTGATTGATTGAGTTGTGTTAGGAATTTCAATTTTTTGAGTAGTGGAAAGACTGTCTTCTTTATTAGTATCGTCCCTTTGACTTTTTTGAGCATCAGTATGTGAGTCTTCCATTTCAAAGTAATGTTGATCAGGAGTAATTCTTTTTTTTTGTCTTCTATTATTAATTGTATATCCTACATGATATACTATTTCACAAAGAATAGTACAGAATAATACAATAACAATACCAATGTAAACAGGTAAATAAAGATTATCTAATGAAGTTGCCATAACACCAGCAATTAATGGAAGGAATGCCATTCCTAATTTAGCTGTTCCTTCAGAAACTCCAACAAAGAAACCTTTCTTTTGTTCACTTGCACGAAGAGAATAATAGGTTGATGTTTGGTAAGCAAAACCAGCAACTAGTCCTCCTAAGAAACTTAATACTAAAAGAAGCCATACAGTTGATGAAGCAGCTACAACAATAAACAAAAGCATAATAATTATTTGTCCAATAAGGAATAATGAACGTTTATATGTCCATATAGTTGTAAGAGACATTAACACCATCGCAATGGTTTGTGCAAAATAAAAGATAAAGAAGAAGAGTCCAAGGTACATATCGTTTGGAGCTGCTAATGGAAGGTTAACTCTTATATCTTTCTTCTTAATTAATTTAATGTATTGATTAGATAACACAGACGCACTTCCAACAACAGAGAAATTAAGAATATAACCAAGATAAATGTATGTTTTATTCTTTAATTGAAATTGATTCCATTTGTATTTAATTCTTTTAGAATCTGCAACAACAACTTCTTCTAAATCATGCCCTTGGACATTATTAGATTTAACTGAATCTATTTGTACTCCAGTTTGGTTCTCTAAATCATTAACCATATCCAATGGAATTTCAATATCCTCATCAGCATTAGGTTTATTCTTATCGTTATTCTCTTTACTGACAGTTCCTACTTTAACGTGCATATCTTCTGGTTCTTTCTGATGTTGAGCAGCTTCTTTCTTTCTTTTTTCTCTTTCACGTACTTCTGGAGGAAGGCAATATGGATAAATAATTAATAAAATTCCACTACAACCAATTGCCACCCAAAGAGCATTGTCTCCAAGTGCTTTTTTCAATAACCCACCAAACAAATATCCTAATGATTTACCAAATGACCAACAAACAGAATATATTGAACTGTTTCTATTTTCTTTTCCAATTGAAGCCTCTTTGCCAACAGTTGATCCTACTACTGGCCAAAATAGTCCTGAACCAACTGCATAAAAACAGACATCAATATAAAGGTGCCAAACTTTTGTGTTTAGAACCATTGTTAATACAACACATCCAATAAAGAATAAATCTGCTATTCTAAATAACAAATATGGATTTATTAGATCAGTCAATTTTCCTGCTACAGGTGAGAATAATGCTCCAAGGCCATAAGATACTGCTTGAATAAGTGCAAGTTCCAATGAAGATGCACCTAAATCATTTGCTTTTAATGGGATGACAGTCCACAAAAAATATGCACTAAAGTTAAATAATAATCCTGTGATGCATAGTCTATAAAAATTGGACTTTATTGCATTAATGACCTTCCATACAATTGATTTGATTAATGTCATCTTGAGTAATAATTTTATCTCAATGAGTTTCAATTTTCTCTTTTTCTTCAAAAGAATTTCTTCACCCCTTCCATTTTTATTATTTCTTATTTTATTATACTTTTTTTATATTTTTATTATTTATTTACTACTCTTCTTACCTCTAGAATTCTTACAGAACTGTGTCGAATCCTTTAGATCTTCCCTTCCTTTAATTCTTTTCTTTTTCCTCTCTAAATTACAGACTCTCAATGTATTATTTGATGATGTGGACACATATTAAACTGTCCTGTTTTTATTATGACATTTTTAAACAATACAGTATTATAAAAATTATGAAAAAATAATTAAAAAATGATGCAAATTAAGTCAGTCAATCAGGAATAATTCCTTTCTCAATCCAATAACTCCTGAACTGAAGTAACTCTCCA